AGATTATTTTTTTATTCCCAAACTACCCATCATGAGAATTGACCATTTTAACTACCCAGAACACGAAGGTATGAAGAATTCTATCTATTTTGTTTTTGCTTGTATCTGTTAATTTCATCCAAATGAGTTTTGATTTGGCCTCTGTATTGACTTAGAAAACATGGGTTTGCACTGATTCGCCGCAATCGACTCTAACCGGAAACTGGTCCGGTCGAAGCGCAGTCTCTAGCAACGGAAGCCAAACAGTCCTCCTCAGATCCCGTCACCGCTAATGACGCCTTTCACTGCTCCGATCGAACCTTGGGATCTGATATACAAAGTTGTTGGACAGTTCGCGAGCTTGAAGACGAACGGTGAAGGACCACCCAATGCCAAAGGACTTTTCGGCGACCCACGAGCTCTGATTCCCACAACTGGGTTCTACTCGAATCACTCTCTCACTCCAAATTTATCAGAGGCCAGTCATGTAAGCTCTATTATTATACAGAGTTTTGGCAGAAACATCAGCCTTTTGATTGTACAAAATGCCCTTAACAGTCCAACCAAAATTTTTTCTCTTCTCACCAAATTCTCTGCCCAAAATCCCATCGTAGCACCATCACCACTCCACTTGCAATTGCAACATAAACAATCCGAAATTACAATCTGGGTCTATACATGTATAATATATTTATTTAATTTTGACATCAAGCAACCCCCATCATATAAATGTAGAATTTGATTTCAGTCCAACCTCCACACAACCACGGGCCAATGATATTGAAGTCAGATTTGATAAATCTAATTTCAATCCAACCCATCAACTTTATGTTCTTTATTTCTCTGATCTACGACCGCCTTTGTGCTTTCTTGTAACACCAAATTTCCCGACGTGATGAATTACCCTGAAACCCAGGTCGTCGTTGTCTCTTGAAATGACTTGTATTATGGAGTTATTGGAGAGCTGGGTAGTTGGGTCATTTCACAACAATATAAATGGGCAGTTTGGGAATCAAATGATAATCTACATTAAAATTTTATGTCCATGTCAGCATTTGAGATAATTCTATTAATTAAGAAAACTAAAATTTGACTCCATCCATTTGTCCTTTCACCTCCAAAGCATCATTTTTTTTAGAATTATCCCATTAATGAGCGTGACTAAAATACACTTGGCTAGGACTACTTCCGAACAAAATCAAATTCAAATAAAGAAAACAAAAATCAAGAAATAATAAGAGAATTATGCAACCCCATGTCATTCAAATCTTTCATGTTACGTTTGGTGTGCAGGAATGAAGTGGGAAGGGAATAGAATGGAATGTTCATTCTCATTCTATCATTTGGTTGTAAATATGAAATGTATAGGAATATTCTATTGTTTGGTTGTAAATATGAAATGTACAGAAATGAAATGATAATAATCATTCTACTGTTTGATTGAACCAATTTAAAATTTAGAATGTAATAAATTTCTAATTGAATTCTTAACAAATATCCCTCTTAGTAACAAATAAATTAAATTAATAAAATGACATTTTCTAATAATTTTTTAAAAATAAATGGTGTAAGCTGTAGTGACGGAAGGCGGCGGTGGCAATGGTAATGGTGGAAAGTGGCGGCAGTGGTGGTAGTGGAAGGTGGCAGTGGTGTGGTGGAAGGAAATAGTGGTGTGACTATAGTGGTGGTGGAACACAGTGGAGGTGGCGGTGGTAGTAGTGGTGGAAGGTGGTGACGATGGTGGTAGTGGTGGAAGGTGCTAGTGGTGGTGTAGGGCGGTGGAAGGTGGTAGTGGTGGAATGTGGTGGCAGTGGTGAAAGGCGATGGTGATTGTGGCAAATGGTGGTGGTAGCGGTGGTGAAAGACGATGGCGGTGATGGTTGGGGCGATGGTAAAAGTCGGTGACGATGGCGGTGGTGGAAGGTAGTGGTAGTGGTAGTGGTGGTGGTGGTGGTGAAAGACATAGGTGGTTGTGGTGGAAGGTAATTGTGGTTTTTGGACTTGGAACATGAAAGTTTTTTGAAAAGTTGATTTTTTTGAAAAAAATTATTTGAGAATTGAATTGTCATTCCATAAGTTTAGATGTGGAATGAATTTTCATTTCAATAAAATAATTATTCCCACTTTAATTTGCATATCAAACAAATGATTACAAAGGAATAGTTAGAATGGGCGCACACGAAACCTTACATCTCAGTACCTAATCAAAAACATGTCTTTCAATTACATTTCTTTTTTAGTTAATTTCTTTTTGAATGGATCCCACTTTATTTTTATTCCTTTATTTTTTTCTCATTTTTTTAGATTAGGGGTCTCACGTATAGATAACCATATATGCACCATATCGGATTCCCTAAGCCCCAAACAATATGAAGCTCCAAATTTTTGCATTTCCTTACAGGTTACAATACAGCACCTTTAAAATTTTATTTCATTCTATTATTAAATCTCATGTTTTTGTTTTTGTTTTTGTTTTTTTTATGTGCTGAAAAACAAACCTATTTTTTTCTTTAGCCTATATGTGAGTTATATTAAAATGTAAGATTCTGGTGAGAATTATAAGTAAATATTATTTGTGGTTGGTTGCTGTAATTTCAGTACCTAATCAAAAACATGTTTGTGAAAATACTCATATGTCGTTTGAAAATGCCCTTATTATATATGTTGAACCGAAAGGACGAACATTTTAGTTTCATATTTAATTTTTTTTACCTATTTTTTATTCAATTACAGAGGGACACTTTACTCTTTTCAGAAGTCAAGTCTTTGTTTGTTTCAAAATTGAATGATAGGGATTTTTTAGGAGGTACAAGGACTTATAGACTCTATATGCATCATGATTCTTCGTATCGATCATTTTTCAAGACCGATATGTAACCCATATAGGCCCGTTTATTTTTATTTTATCCGAATCTATTATACCGCAACTGCAACTACGACCGCGATCGATACTGTGATCGTCGCCTCTACGCCTCTACTACGAACCATAATATGTATTCCATAGGAGTATTTTTTGCTCGCCAGCCTCATTTTTATTTATTCCCTGATATGGCTTGCATTTAATATTCTTGATGACTCATTCATGGATCTAAGTTTGGCTGAAAGATCTTATACTCATCCATGTTTGGCTTATTATTGAATGTTCCATTAATGGATAATATAATTAAATTCATTTTTGATGCTTGCCGAGGATTTGATTGATTTTTCTCGTTACAGTAATTCTTTTAACCAACTTAAGGGCCCGTTTGATATGCGTTTTGTTTTTGGTGTTTTGTTTTTGGTTAAAGCAGAAACAATGTTTTTGTTGTAGGGTGTTTTGGAACAAATTCGAAAGTACGTTTGAGAACTATACTTTGCTGTAGATATGTCAAAAACAAAAACATGTAAAACATGTTTGGACACAAAAATATATATATATATATAAATTAATTTTTGCAAGGGTAGCAGACCCCCCCCTCTCTCAAAAATCACTCTGCAACTCTCTCTTTTCTCTCTATTAGTTGGAATTCATTGACTGGTAGTCTTCCATCTTGGGTGTTTAAAATGGGTTTACAGAGTGTGTTGCTTTCGGGGAACAGATTGAGTGGGGATATGGACAGTTTATTTTCTTCCTTGAAGAACAGCTTGAATGGAGGGCTTCAGGTCTTGGACTTATCCCACAATGGTTTAACCGGTGAAATCCCCTCTGCTATTGGGGATTTTGGTGGCTTGATGTTCTTAAATTTGTCTAGAAACTCGCTTGTAGGTGGTATTCCAGCAAATATTAGAGAATTAAAGGCCTTGGATGTTCTTGATTTGAGAGAAAATCAGCTGACTGGAAGCATTCCATTGGAAATTGCTTTTGAGGTCGATTGATTTTAGTGAGAATTCCTTTTCTGGGAGTCTTCCAAACATGTATGAAGCAAGAAGACGACCGGTGATGAAGCTAGGGACACAACACAGGGCGACGACAGCAAGGAAACTCCGGCGATAGCAAAGAATGAGGCCGCGGCACGAAGAAACAGATAAACTCTGGTGATAGTAGGTTTTGATTCTTGCAGACAGATAGATAAACTGAAATAAATGGGTTTTGAACTTCTGATTCTTGTAGATTTGGGCAAGTTCAGAGTAGAGAACGAGAATAGAGATGGAGGCGATTGGAAATCGCCCTTGAATCGTAGAGAGAGTATCGGGAGAGGAGAGAGAAAATTTGTGCAAAAATGACCTAAAATGTTTATATAGCTGAATCAAATTGGGCCGACTGTTTCATCCGCTACAGTGCTTTTTATTGGGCTACAGTGTTGAAACAACAAAAAACACCAATTTGGTGATTCACTTTTGGGCCAAAATTTGGTACTATTTAAAACATTGTTTTTTACTGTTTAAAACAAAACAAGTGCTACCAAACATGTTTTTGGGCCTGAAATGAAGCCCTGCAACAAAAACACCAAAGTAAAATACCAACCAAACAGGCCCTAAGACTGCTTGGATATTCTTTATTTAGATGATTTGCCCAAATTTATAGATTATGTACAGCAAATTTTCAATTATACTATTATTGAGGTAAATATTTTTTTTGAAAAATATTTTTTTTTGCCAGATAAAATATTCTTTTAGGTTGAAATCGAGTCCATCGGGTCGGACATGTAAAATAACTTATCGAAAATTGATGAATAAGTTATTTTTGTTAAATTTTAATAATTTTTTTCTTCGTAAATATTTTACGACAACCAAATACCATAAAATAAAAAAAATATTTTCTGAAAAAAAAATTACTTCCAAACAAACGAACCAATTCTCTGCCAATTTGATCAATTACAAGTGTGATTGCAAGAATAACAAATAATTAAGATAAAATTATCACTAACCATAAAACTATATGACATTCGTGAATAACATAAAATTGTTTGGGATACAAGTTAAGACTCCATTTGTTTGGATGTAAAAAAATTTTAATTTTTTTTTTTATTTTTTAGTATTTGAATATCATAAAATATCTACAAAGAAAAAATATATTAAAATGTAACAAAAGTAAATTATTAATTAATTTTTAACAAGTTATTTTACGCCAATCTTTGTCAAGCACCTAAGAAATTTTATATATATATATATATATATATATATATATATAGTGGCCTAAATATCAATCATCTTTTGCTGTCATCTTCCTCTCTCCACATCTCGACCCAATTCGTCTGAGCTTCTTCAAACCCGAGAAGCGAACCCTTCTTCTCCGGATCCCAACTTGTAGACAGAGTCCCATATGCAACTCCCAAAGTTGATGCCCCAAATGTGATAAAAGTAGTCCAGAAAGGTAACCAAAGTGGCACATTCCACACATGTTGTTCCTTCACTATGTCAAACACTTGCAGCATTGCTATAACGCTCACCAATGGAACCCCCACATAAACCAAGATCCTAACCACCATCCTCTCCATCACAATGTCCGGTATCTTCTCATCATCGTCGTCGCCGTCATTGTTATTCCCATAGCTTGTTCCGGTGTCTGTCCCATTACTAATCTTCTCCGTCCGCGTACTAGCCGGTTTAGTGTTGAAGTGGCGCCTTCAACATGCAGCTTCCATGTTTTTGTGGGAAGGTATGGATTTTTTAGGGTTTTGGGGTAGAGGGTTGGGCTCCTTGGATTCCATGGAGAAGGCTTGGTAATGTAAAGAGGTAGTTGTTGTAAAGAAACCATAGTTTTCATGACTTCTTAGACTTTGTTTCTCATGGTATACCAATCATGTCTGCAGTGTTCTAATTATTTGAAATCTTATCCAAAACAATGAATGGTGGTGACTTTGTCTCAAGGAGATATAAGATACTTTCTATCTTGTGATATTTTTGAAGATTTTTGAGGCTGTCCATGGAAGCCAGACAAATTTGCCCTCCCATTCTAGCCTCAATAGAGCATGCAGCAAGTTGAAGGCTATTTTCGTCATTTCAATTAATACATTACGAAAAGACGGATCATTCTTACCAAATCAAACAAAAATATTTCATAACTATATTGTTTATATATATATATATATATATATATAAGAGGATTGAGCTAATTAATGCTTAGTGAAGCTTTAATTTGGATTAAAATGTTAATTTGGAATTCCAGTGAAGCTTCAATTTTAGTCTTTGTGGTCTAGAGGTTGCTTCTGGGTTCTTATTCTTAGGTGCGCTGGGTTGGGTGGGACTAACAGGTCTTTCTGGCATGTGGTCATCCTTTCTGTGCAAGATTCTTCATCCCTTCTATGGATAAGTCCCCTGCAATCTACACTAGAGCTCCAACATAATGTTTAAGAAAGTTAAGCAATTTGAGGGCAAAAAGTGAGCCCCCCCCCCAAAAAGTTAGATGAAGCTGGATTTTATATAATGATTAATATATATATATCTATATATTTATAAGTCCCGTTCACCATATTTAGGGCTTCAAACGAGCTGAGCCGAGCCGAGCCATGGTGTGCTCGAGCTCGGCTCGGCTCGGCTCAAGTGATAGAATGCTCGAGCTCGGCTCGAGCTCGAGAAGAGCCGAGAAAATTTGGTTCAAGCTCGACTCGGCTCTGTTCGACGAGTCTTGAGCCGAGCTCGAGCTTTTTTTTTTTTTTAGCATCTAACAGATCTAAAAAAAAAAAAATTAATTTTTTTTTTGAGAGAAATAGATTTGCTGTAATAAAAAGAGAGAAGTTTGAGAGAGAAGGAGAAAAAAAAGTAATAAATTTGATCCAAAATTAAACTTACCAGAGTTGATTTTGATGGAAGAAGTTGAGGGATGCACGGATCAATAGTAAACCCCAAAATCTATACTAAAAATCAGTTTGGATGAAAGACCATTAATACATAAAAATCAAATATAAGAATAGAAAGAGAGAAAAGTAAGATTCCATGACACAAATCAGATTCTTGAGTGTGTTGCCGCTGCTGCTTGGGCTACTGATAAATTTAGAAAAAGAAAAGATGATTAGGGCTAGACATAAGACATGGGCTTGGGTTTGATTGTACAGATGGGCTTGTGTTTGATTGTACAGATGGACTTGATTTTTGTTTTAAAATGAATAAATTATAAAATTGGGTCTAAAATATGACTAAAAAATTTAATGGGCCTGTGGACTAAACCTTCATAATATAAAATTATATATTATAATTGGATATGTATATATATATAGAGTATCAAGCTCAGTTCGTGAACGGTTCATGAACAAACGAGCCGAGCCTACTGATGTTCAGGCTTGACTCGTTTATGAATCAAGCTTCAGAATTTGGCTCGAGCTCGATTCATTTAATGAACCGAGCTCGAGTCGAATAATTAACGAGCCGAGCCCAAACAGTTCACGAACAGCTCGACTCTTTTGCGGCCCTATCCATATTTCTTTCGACCTGACTACTCATATAAAAATTGTCTGATTTGCATACTTCTTTTTATGTTTACGATTTTAAAAATGCATCTTTATAATTAAGGAGTATCGACACATATAAGTGTCAACAATTTTTTTCCCGAACAATGTAAGATGTTACAATACCACATAAGATCTTAACATTAACGGTAAAATCACTGTTATAGAATTGACAAAATTTTCATAGAATTTACTAGGGATGTGTAATGAAACCGTAAGTGAAATATTGTACATTTACTTCATTAAAATAATCATATGTTTAGAATTATAGAGAAGGGAAAGATAGAGAAAGAACAGAGGACAAAAATAAGAGAAAATATTTTTCTAAAGAGAAAGTGGAGTGAAAAATGGTCAAAGATCGATGAGAAAAGGAAGAAAAGATTTGAAAGTCAAAAAAAAAAAAAAAAGTACAAAACTATAATTTTTTGTTGCAGTTTTCTGAAATACAGTTAATTTTTTTTAAAAATAATAATATAAGAAAATTTATTACTTTTCTAATTTTTTGTTTTATGAGTTTCTATAATTATTTTTAAAAATTGACCCAAATAGTTTCTAGAATTTTCTTTCATTTCAAAATGAAGGATAAAGGAAGACTTAACAAAAAATTGAACCAAATAGTTTCTAAAATTTACATTTTGAAATGTAAATTTTCTTCACCAAGTTAGATTGAAATCTAAAAAAACTAAAAACTATTTTCTGTTCTGATTCTTTCAAAATTATTCTTCAAAATTTTTTTTATAAATGCAATCCAAGCAAGGCGAAATGTTTTCGAATTGTCCATCATGATTCCGACGACTTACAACCAGGAAAGCTCCTAGGATCGTGGAGTGGTCACAATGGTCCGACTAAAAACTTAAAATCCTTAGGCACATATACTGTTTGACAGAGGGCTTTTCTAGACATTGTAAAGTTAAAGGATTTGTTGATGACAACAATTATTCTTTCTCACCCTTGCCTTCAAATGGGGGAAATGATTAGAGCTTATGTGTTCTCGGGATTTAAATGTGAAATGACTATTACTATGTTCTTTGACGAATGTATTGAATTGATTGATGATTTGGGAATTGAAATGAAAAGGTATATTTGGGAGTTGTTGTTTTGAATTTCAAGAGAAATGAATGAATTTTATGATTAAAAATGGTCGTTTTATAATAGTGACGTTTTAGTGATGGTAGTAGAATGCACACTTCAAGTGCAGTAGTTTTTGTTGTTAAAAATGCAATGAAAATGAGTTTTTGTTGTAGAAAATGGCCATTTTGGTAAAAATGTATTTTGGTGTTAAAAATGACAATAAGAACCTTTTTAATGAGAACGGGTTTTTGAAATGTCAAGATGACATATGACAAATATGACTATTTTAGTAAAAACGAATTTTTAAAATGACGAAAATGACTGTGTTAGTGAAAACGGGTTTTTGAAATGTCCAAAATGACTGCTAACGGAGTTCTAGTCTGGCCACGATATGGTTCAGACATGTGAAATGCAGAAAGGACAGAAAGGAAAGCTCCTTGACATAGCAGGGGAAAAGCCGAAGGTCTTTTATGAGAGGATGAAAACCTCTAAAGACTTGGTAGCTTGCAACAAGGAGATTGATAAGCCGGTGATAGCTCAGCTTTGGGTTGAGAATTAAGCTATCCTTTGCTCGATCCAAACAAGGCTTGGACAAAATTCAAGGTGGGATAGACCAGCTGCCGGCTAACATCACTGATTTTCGTATAAAGAACTCCCGTTTACCTCCTCCGTAGAGATGAGGGTTTCAACACACAAACATAGGCTATGCAAAGAAAAAGATCGAGAAGAGGAATAAAAATAAAGTTTAGATACCTTCTTTTCTATCCTTTTTGCTTTTGATGCATTCTTTGCAATGGTTTTCTTCCTCTTTTCTTCAGGACACCATCTTCTTCTGTTTTTTTTTTTTTTTTGTAGATATTGCAAGCTTAAGAAGGGGTTGTGGCTCCTTCGTACAAGTGTATAGAGAGAGAAATTAGAAGAAAATGGTGTAGGTAATGTAAAGGAATGTAGAGAATATATTGTGTGTGTGTGTGTGTGTTTACATGAGTACGTATATGTGAGTATATTTGTAGAGAGAGGAAAGTGTGCAGAGAGAGTAATGTGTATGAATATATGACCTTATAGGGATTTGTGTGTGAATTGTGAAGTAAAGGGGTCTGTTTAGAGTACCCCCAGTGCAGCATTTTCATTCTCATTCTACACTTTTACAAAGTGTAATGTCATGTCAGTAATTGTGTAGACATAGTTCTACACATTTTTTGAAGGTTTATTTCTCTTGTTGTGCACGCCTCTTTTATATTCTACACTTTATTATTTTATTATTTTAAAATTTACTTATAATATTTATTATATATATATATATATATATATATATATAATGACAAATTGATTTTTAAAATCAAGGGACCCACCACTTACCTTTAGTAATATGTAATGATCTAAAGGTCATGACTCATGAGGTGACCATTTTAACACCTTCCATTCACTCAGCTTCTCACCTCTCATATCAGTGTTCATTTTTTTCCATTTTTCCACCAATTCAACTTTAGATCTAGATCAAGCCTTTGAGAATTTGATTTTGCTATTAAAGGCAAAGTTGTTAATCTCGTCGTGGGCTTCATTTTGATCGGAGCTGATTTTCAATTGGCCACCCATTGAATTCCGAAATTTGGGCTAAAATTGGGGTTTTCTTTAATACTTGAGGTAGGGGTGCTCTAATCCACTATTTCTTGGATTTTTTTGTGAATTTTTCTCTTTAATTTGACTTTAAGCATGCATAATTTTAATTTTTTTATTATGTTTGTTAGGGTTATTTATATTTATGGTGATAAATGTGTGTTATGTGTTAATTGGACTTATTAGTATGATAATTTTCGATTTGTATAGAAGCATGCTTAGTGTTGGTTTGTTTCTTGATTTCAATTGTTATGAAAATTTTTGTTATAATTATGGAAATAAATTTGTGAATTTAAATTGCTAGCAAAATGTGGAATGAGAATATGAATTGTGTATTTTTAGTAATTTATTAATTTATTTGAAAAGTATGTGGAAACTTTATGGTTGAATTGATGAAATGAAGCATGAAGCATTCATGCATCCATTGGGAAATAAATAGGGGGAAAAATGTTTTTAAAATAAATGAATTTGTTCTTGGGAAAAATATTTTTCAAAGGAATTTGTGCAAACCGGACGCCTAGGAGGCGCCTAGCGGTCCGTGTTGTTAGTGTAGTCTAGAAGGGAGTATGATTGATCTAACTAAGTCGAATGCGAAGCCTTGGAGGTGCCTTGTGGTCGTGAATAGTTAGTCAACCCTTCATTCGTGATGCCTTGGAGGTGCCTTGGGTCGGATTACACTAACGGTTTGGAAGATGAAACGGAAATGTTTCAGAAAATGGGGAGTGACATTTGCATAATATTGCACTTCATAACATCGTGGTAAACTTGTGATTGGTTGATATTTGCTACATACTTGTTGTTATGGTTGAGAATGTGCATTTCTTTATGGCTGATCCTGTTCACTTTTTATCTATTCATTGTATGGATTCACGGGGTCATAAGAAGTGTGTCTTCGACACTTCCTACTGAGCTTATGTTCACCCCATTATTTTTAACATTTTTCAGGATACGGAAAAGAGGTGGCGGATGACGATCCACCACAAGTTTAGACGGGATTGAAGATTTATTTTAATTTGCTATCTTTTGTATTAGAAGTCTAATATTTTGTAAATGTAATCTTAACTATTTTGTGAAACTTTAGTTTAACTAGTATAATGTTGAAAGCTACGGACTTTTAAATTTTAGCTACAATTATGGACTAT